ACTACGGGAATTAAACCTCACTTCGCTGGAAGACAGAAGAGTTAGGGGGGACATGATCACCACATTCAAGATTCTGAAGGGGATTGATAGGGTAGATAAAGACAGTCTATTTAACACAAGGGGAACACGCACAAGGGGACACAGATGGAAACTGAGTGCCCAAATGAGCCACAGAGATATTAGAAAGAACTTTTTTAGTGTCAGAGTGGTTGACAAATGGAATGCATTAGGAAGCAATGTGGTGGAGGCTGACTCCATACACAGTTTCAAGTGTAGATATGATAGAGCCCAGTAGGCTCAGGAATCTGTACACCTGTTGATTGACGGTTGAGAGGCGGGACCAAAGAGCCAGAGCTCAACCCCCGCAAACACAACTAGGTGAGTACTAGGTGAGTACACACCCACACACACACCCACACACACACACACACACACACACACACACACACACACACACGCACACACACACACACACACCCACCCACCCACACACGATGACTGTTGAGAGGCGGGACCAAAGAGCCAAAGCTCAACCCCCGCAAGCACAATTAGGTGAGTACACAAACACACACACACACACACACACACACACCCCTACACACCCCCCCCCACACCCCCCCCCCCCACCCCCCCCCCCACACACACACAAGAAACTTTCATCATTAAGCAAAACCTCCCCAAAAAATATTTCGAGTCTGAGATCGAGTGGAGAAAATGGATGGAAGAACGTGAAGAGTTTTAGGGAAATATTGTTCATGACGGGGGAAGGAGTCGCTCTCACGGGCCAAGAATGACGACGATTATCATATTGTGTCTTGGAGGGAGAGGTGAGGTATGGAGAGGTGAGGTATACCTCACACTGAGAGGTGAGGTATTGTGGAGCCTCTGGATCTCCTCAGACACCCAGAGGCTCCTGTGTGAAAGTTGTGTGAAAGTTGCGTGAAGGTTGTGTGAAAGTTGTGTGAAGGTTGTGGGAAGGTTGTGGGAAGGTTGTGTGAATGTTGTGTGAAGGTTGTGGGAAAGTTGTGTGAAGGTTGTGTGAAAGTTGTGTGAAGGTTGTGTGAAACTTGTATGAAAGTTGTGTGAAGGTTGTGTGAAGGTTGTGGGAAAGTTGTGTGAAAGTTGTGTGAAAGTTGTGTGAAAGTTGCGTGAAGGTTGTGGGAAAGTTGTGTGAAAGTTGTGTGAAAGTTGTGTAAAAGTTGTGCAAAAGTTGTGTGAAAGTTGTGTGAAGGTTGTGTGAAAGTTGTGTGAAAGTTGTGTGAAGGTTGTGGGAAAGTTGTGTGAAGGCTGTGTGAAAGTTGTGTGAAAGTCGTGTGAAGGTTGTATGAAGGTTCTGAGAAGGTTGTGTTTGTTTCAAGTTACAAGATAATTGTTAACTAATGGAGTAATGGATAATTGGGCAACTAATCTCATGGAAAACTTAAAACTAATAAATAATTTTAACTAATTCTTTGTCGAATCCGACCTTAAAGATCTGGATGGAGGTGGCTTCCAATACTTTCTCTTCCGGGGCATTCCACTTCTTGTTCCTAAAACACAAACACCTCGCACCTGAAGGGGCCTCGTAGCCTGGTGGATAGCGCGCAGGACTCGTAATTCTGAGGCGCGGGTTCGATTTCCGCACGAGGCAGAAACAAATGGGCAAAGTTTCTTTCACCCTGAATGCCCCTGTTACCTAGCAGTAAATAGTTACCTGGGAGTTAGTCAGCTGTCACGGGCTGCTTCCTGGGGGTGGAGGCCTGGTCTAGGACCGGGCCGCGGGGACACTAAAGCCCCGAAATCATCTCAAGATAACCTCAAGATAACCGTTGTTTTTTTGGAGGATTTGTTTTTTTTGACAATTGAAGGCTTTCGCTTGTTATGTTGTGATCACAGATGTTTGGAAAGTATAATTATTGAGTCTTGTAACCCTTCAGTAACTGCTGGTTACTGATTGTTAACTGGTTGAAAGGTCACGTGTAGTTAGTGACCTTTTTGCAATGACCAGGTACCAGATTCACGAAGCAGTTACGCAGGCACTTACGAACCTGGGGCCGGATTCACGAAGCAGTTACGCAGGCACTTACGAACCTGGGGCCGGATTCACGAAGCAGTTACGCAAGCACTTACGAACCTGGGGCTAGATTCACGAAGCAGTTATGCAAGCACTTACGAACCTGGGGCCAGATTCACGAAGCAGTTATGCAAGCACTTACGAACCTGGGGCCAGATTCACGAAGCAGTTACGCAAGCACTTACGAACCTGGGGCCAGATTCACGATGCAGTTACGCAAGCACTTACGAACCTGGGGCCGGATTCACGAAGCAGTTACGCAGGCACTTACGAACCTGGGGGTAGATTCACGAAGCAGTTACGCAAGCACTTACGAACCAGGGGCCGGATTCACGAAGCAGTTACGCAAGCACTTACGAACCTGGGGCTAGATTCACGAAGCAGTTACGCAAGCACTTACGAACCTGGGGCCAGATTCACGAAACAGTTACGCAAGTACTTACGAACCTGGGGCCAGATTCACGAAGCAGTTACGTAAGCACTTACGAAACTGGGGCCAGATTCACGAATCAGTTACGCAAGAACTTACGAACCTGGGGCCAGATTCATGAAGCAGTTACGCAAGCACTTACAAACCTGGGGCCAGATTCACGAAGCAGTTACGCAAGCACTTACGAACCTGGGGCCAGATTCACGATGCAGTTACGCAAGCACTTACGAACCAGGGGCCGGATTCACGAAGCAGTTACGCAAGCACTTACGAACCTGGGGCCAGATTCACGAAACAATTACGCAAGCACTTACGAACCTGGTGCCGGATTCACGAAATAGTTACGCAAGCACTTACGAACCTAGGGCCAGATTCACGAAGCGTAACTGCTTCGTAAACTCTGGCCCCAGGTTCGTAAGTGCCTGCTTCGTGAATCTGGGCCCAGGCAACACATAAACACCCCCTCCCCCCCCTCCTCCCCCCATCTCCTGAAAATCGAAATTTAGCCTGCAACATTCCAGCAACACCGAGAATGTGAAGGTTGCATATTTGCAACCTTCAGCAATGTTCATTTTTGTTGCCTGTGCAAGCGGGTGAACACGCGCGGAATGTTCATAGAAAATTTTCTAGGTGGAATATCAACAAAATATTCAAGACTTTTCAACTTTCCGTCTCCAAGTTTCGCAAGACGAATGTTGCTCTTGGAAGAACCCAGAGAGATTAACGCTCGTTGCATATGTACAACGACTACATATGTGGTAGCTTGGCATCTGGGACGGTTGGGGTCAAGCTTGGGGGGTCAAGGTTGGGGGGTCAAGGTTGGGGGTCAAGGTTGGGGGTTAAGGTTGGGGGGTCAAGGTTGGGGGGTCAAGGTTGGGGGGTCAAGGTTGGGGGTTAAGGTTGGGGGTCAAGGTTTGGGGGTCAAGGTTGGGGTCAAGGTTGGGGGTCAAGGTTGGGGGTCAAGGTTGGGGTCAAGGTTGGGGTCAAGGTTGCGGGTCAAGGTTGGGGTAAAGGTTGGGATCAAGGTTGGGCTATCGCTGTATCTATCGCAGGCGGCTTGACGTTTGCGAGGCACTACACATTAAGAAGTCAACACCAGCAATCAACAGCCAATTAATGCACAACTATATTCTACCCACCTCAAGACTCCGCTCCAATATAGAAGCATCAAGAAATATGGACCAATAGGCTTTCTACAATCAATTCTATTCAATACCCATTGTTTCGTGTTCTGTCTTGTGTTGATGAAATTAATACCCTATTAATACCACCTCACCCCATCCACCTCACTCAAATGTAGATATAAACAAATCGGAGATGTGTAAGTTCTATTCAGTTGTGTATTTGTAAACTAAAGTCTTTGAAAATGTAATAAGTTTTACGAAACGCGCTCAAGTGTCGCGTCAGACTAGAAATAAAAATGAATTTTGGAGAATTGATTTTTGAATTACCTCCAACAGTGAAAAGAAATATACGAAAGATCGAGAAAATTCGTGTTAGAATTATTAATCTTACTTTTTCGGTTATATTTAATAATATATGTCTACAGGAAAGACTGCTACCAAAATATACTAATATATATATATATATATATATATATATATATATATATATATATATATATCGTACCTAGTAGCCAGAACGCACTTTTCAGCCTACTATGCAAGGCCCGATTTGCCTAATAAGCCAAGTTTTCATGAATTAATGTTTTTTCGACTACCTAACCTACCTAACCTAACCTAACCTATCTTTTTCAGCTACCTAACCCAACCTTACCTATAAAGATAGGCTAGGTTAGGTTAGGTAGGGTTGGTTAGGTTCGGTCATATATCTACGTTAATTTTAACTCCAATAAAAAAAATTGACCTCATACATAATGAAATGGGTAGCTCTATCATTGCATAAGAAAAAAATTAGACAAAATATATTAATTCGTGAAAACTTGGCTTATTAGGCAAATTGGGCCTTGCATAGTAGGCTGAGAAGTGCGTTCTGGCTACTAGGTACGACATATATATATATATATATATATATATATATATATATATATATATATATATATATGGACACCTTCCCCATAGTGAAGATCAACTTCTGTAGATATTAAGATAATTGATCAAACTTTCTAAATCAAAATTCACTCCACTTTCTTGTTCCTTTCTAATTAGGATGAGGATATTGGACCTCCGAGGGGGACTAACTTAGACTAGTTGGCTAACACCATTAGAGGGGAACTATGCATAACAATGAGGGCCTCAGAGACCCTCAGACAAGCGTGGTTGATGGTGATTAGCCTCAGACAAGGTGATAGTGAGGCCCTCAGACGAGTATGATAGTGGTAAACACAATGCTCCTGGGGCATGATAGTGGTAAACACCATGCTCCTGGGGCATGATAGTGGTAAACATATAACACAATGCTCCAGGGGGCATGATAGTGGTAAACACAATGCTCCTGGGGCATGATAGTGGTAAACACAATGCTCCTGGGGCATGATAGTGGTAAACATATAACACAATGCTCTCGGAGCGTCGGCGGGGAATGTGAGACAATTTTGTTCAAGTGAGCATTTGCATTTCACCTGTGTCGTGGTGGTGTGTGGGCGAAATATGCGGCACATGTGCCTCATGTGGCATACGCGTGTCTAATCACTTGTGGTGGACGGTCTCGGGTGATTGAACGCCGACCTGCATGAAGTAATACCATCGCTCTACCGTCCAGCCCAAGTAGTTAGGAAACAGTTAGGGAATGCGGATATTAAACTCCTTATAGGGCACGTATTTAGAGCCGCATTTAGGCTCGGATTGCACTATCCAATTCAGTTTTAGGCTCGGCCCTTTAGAACGGAGAAATCCCTTTCAAACCGTACAGAGAATGAGGCAGAATCCTGGGAATTAGAATCTTTCTAATAACCATTTAGAAAGCATTATAAGCCTTTCTAAGAACAGCAGTGACAGAGGGACTCGTTGAACCACAGTGGAGGGAGGCAGGAGCAAGGTTGATATTATCTCTGTGGTCAATATGTCATCACTGCAACACTGAATAAAACGCCAGACAGGGGGATACGAACCCCTGAAGCTGAGGTTCAGCGGCGATTGAGGTAAATGTTGGCCAGGGAATGGTGGTGGTGTTGATGTATGGGTGAAGGGAGATATATGGTAGGTGTGGAGGGTTTGTAGTGGTGGTGTGTGTGGGGGGGGAGGAGAGAGAGAGAGAGAGAGAGAGAGAGAGAGAGAGAGAGAGAGAGAGAGAGAGAGAGAGAGAGAGAGAGAGAGAGAGAGAGAGAATTATCTTGCTACTTAATGGCGACGACTTACTGAAGTTCCACACGCACACACACGCGCGCGTGTGTGTGTGTGTGTGTGTGTGGTGTGTGTGTGTGTATGTGTGTGTGTACTCACCTAGTCGTGCTTGACGGGGCACCGTTCAGGCCAGACTGTTGCAACACTGTGGCTGGCAATAAGTGTTGCAAACGCTCAATATGACAGGTGCCCGTCACTCTGATGGAGTGACGACCTGTCACTCCCACTGTCACTCACCAAGCGGCAAATAAAACACACACACACACCGTGGAACCTAATAGGAACGTACTTCAGCTCCTGGGCTCGCTGGTTCAGCCATCGCTGTTATAATAGCTGTTGAAACAGTGGTAATATGGAGTTATTTTTAAGTTCTTCTGTTGATCTAGTTTTCTAACTAATCCAAGAATAGAAGATTTTACTATCCTGGGAAATCTGTCTCTTTTCCCTGTTGAACATCTATGCTATGTTCTCTTGTTCATCTCCGTGTTGAACATCTATGCTATGTTCTATTGTTCATCTCCGTGTTGAACATCTATGCTATGTTCTCTTGTTCATCTCCGTGTTGAACATCTATGCTATGTTCTCTTGTTCAGTCGTGTTCCTGCCTGCTGGCTGTTGGACCAAGCACTGGGAAGCACAGAGACAAGATCTATACCCCCACACAAGCACTGGGAAGCACAGAGACAACGTCTGTACCCCCACACAAGCACTGGGAAGCACAGAGACAAGGTCTGTACCACCACACAAGCACTGGGAAGCACAGAGACAAGGTCTGTACCCCCACACAAGCACTGGGAAGCACAGAGACAAGGTCTGTACCACCACACAAGCACTGGGAAGCACAGAGACAAGGTCTGTACCACCACACAAGCACTGGGAAGCACAGAGACAAGGTCTGTACCCCCACACAAGCACTGGGAAGCACAGAGACAAAGCACTCTACACCACACAAGCACTGGGAAGCACAGAGACAAGGTCTATACCCCCACACAAGCACTGGGAAGCACAGAGACAAAGCACTCTACATCACACAAGCACTGGGAAGCACAGAGACAAAGCACTCTACACCACACAAGCACTGGGAAGCACAGAGACAAGGTCTATACCCCCACACAAGCACTGGGAAGCACAGAGACAAAGCACTCTACACCACACAAGCACTGGGAAGCACAGAGACAAGGTCTATACCCCCACACAAGCACTGGGAAGCACAGAGACAAAGCACTCTACATCACACAAGCACTGGGAAGCACAGAGACAAAGCACTGCACTGGGAAGCACAGAGACAAGGTCTATACCCCCACACAAGCACTGGGAAGCACAGAGACAAAGCACTCTACATCACACAAGCACTGGGAAGCACAGAGACAAAGCACTCTACACCACACAAGCACTGGGAAGCACAGAGACAAGGTCTATACCCCCACACAAGCACTGGGAAGCACAGAGACAAAGCACTCTACATCACACAAGCACTGGGAAGCACAGATACAAAGCACTCTACAGAGACAAAGCACACACAAGCACTGGGAAGCACTGGGAAGCACAGAGACAAAGCACTCTACATCACACAAGCACTGGGAAGCACAGAGACAAAGCACTCTACATCCACACACAAGCACTGGGAAGCACAGAGAGACAAAGCACTCTACATCACACAAGCACTGGGAAGCACAGAGACAAGGTCTATACCCCCACACAAGCACTGGGAAGCACAGAGACAAGCACTATACATCACACAAGCACTGGGAAGCACAGAGACAAAGCACTCTACATCACACAAGCACTCTATACCCCCACACAAGCACTGGGAAGCACAGAGACAAGGTCTATACCCCCACACAAGCACTGGGAAGCACAGAGACAAAGCACTCTACATCACACAAGCACTGGGAAGCACAGAGACAAAGCACTCTACACCACACAAGCACTGGGAAGCACAGAGACAAGGTCTATACCCCCACACAAGCACTGGGAAGCACAGAGACAAAGCACTCTACATCACACAAGCACTGGGAAGCACAGAGACAAAGCACTCTACACCCCCACACACAAGCACTGGGAAGCACAGAGACAAAGCACTCTACACCACACAAGCACTCTACACCACACAAGCACTGGGAAGCACAGAGACAAAGCACTCTACATCACACAAGCACTGGGAAGCACAGAGACAAAGCACTCTACACCACACAAGCACTGGGAAGCACAGAGACAAGGTCTATACCCCCACACAAGCACTGGGAAGCACAGAGACAAAGCACTCTACCTCACACAAGCACTGGGAAGCACAGAGACAAAGCACTCTACATCACACAAGCACTGGGAAGCACAGAGACAAAGCACTCTACATCACACAAGCACTGGGAAGCACAGAGACAAGGCACTATACCCCCACACAAGCACTGGGAAGCACAGAGACAAAGCACTCTACATCACACAAGCACTGGGAAGCACAGAGACAAAGCACTCTACATCACACAAGCACTGGGAAGCACAGAGACAAAGTCACTCAAGCACTGGGAAGCACAGAGACAAGGTCTATACAACACAAGCACTGGGAAGCACAGAGACAAAGCACTCTACATCACACAAGCACTGGGAAGCACAGAGACAAAGCACTCTACAACACAAGCTATACCCCCACACAAGCACTGGGAAGCACAGAGACAAAGCACTCTACATCACACAAGCACTGGGAAGCACAGAGACAAAGCACTCTACAACACAAAGCACAGAGACAAAGCACTCTACATCACACAAGCACTGGGAAGCACAGAGACAAAGCACTATACATCACACAAGCACTGGGAAGCACAGAGACAAAGCACTCTACATCACACAAGCACTGGGAAGCACAGAGACAAGGTCTATACCCCCACACAAGCACTGGGAAGCACAGAGACAAGGTCTATACCCCCACACAAGCAGTGGGAAGCACAGAAACAAAGCACTCTACATCACACAAGCACTGGGAAGCACAGAGACAAAGCACTCTACATCACACAAGCACTGGGAAGCACAGAGACAAAGCACTCTACATCACACAAGCACTGGGAAGCACAGAGACAAAGCACTCTACATCACACAAGCACTGGGAAGCACAGAGACAAAGCACTCTACATCACACAAGCACTGGGAAGCACAGAGACAAAGCACTCTACATCACACAAGCACTGGGAAGCACAGAGACAAGGTCTATACCCCCACACAAGCACTGGGAAGCACAGAGACAAAGCACTCTACATCACACAAGCACTGGGAAGCACAGAGACAAAGCACTCTACACCACACAAGCACTGGGAAGCACAGAGACAAGGTCTATACCCCCACACAAGCACTGGGAAGCACAGAGACAAAGCACTCTACATCACACAAGCACTGGGAAGCACAGAGACAAGGTCTATACCCCCACACAAGCACTGGGAAGCACAGAGACAAAGCACTCTACATCACACAAGCACTGGGAAGCACAGAGACAAGGTCTATACCCCCACACAAGCACTGGGAAGCACAGAGACAAAGCACTCTACATCACACAAGCACTGGGAAGCACAGAGACAAAGCACTCTACACCACACAAGCACTGGGAAGCACAGAGACAAGGTCTATACCCCCACACAAGCACTGGGAAGCACAGAGACAAAGCACTCTACATCACACAAGCACTGGGAAGCACAGAGACAAGGTCTATACCCCCACACAAGCACTGGGAAGCACAGAGACAAGGTCTATACCCCCACACAAGCACTGGGAAGCACAGAGACAAAGCACTCTACATCACACAAGCACTGGGAAGCACAGAGACAAAGCACTCTACACCACACAAGCACTGGGAAGCACAGAGACAAGGTCTATACCCCCACACAAGCACTGGGAAGCACAGAGACAAAGCACTCTACATCACACAAGCACTGGGAAGCACAGAGACAAAGCACTCTACATCACACAAGCACTGGGAAGCACAGAGACAAAGCACTCTACACCACACAAGCACTGGGAAGCACAGAGACAAGGTCTATACCCCCACACAAGCACTGGGAAGCACAGAGACAAAGCACTCTACATCACACAAGCACTGGGAAGCACAGAGACAAAGCACTCTACACCACACAAGCACTGGGAAGCACAGAGACAAGGTCTATACCCCCACACAAGCAGTGGGAAGCACAGAGACAAAGCACTCTACATCACACAAGCACTGGGAAGCACAGAAACAAAGCACTCTACATCACACAAGC